GTTCATTTTTTTTTTTATGTGGGGGGTGCACACCCGGGTGTTGGATCCGAGTGTGCACCAATCATGGTCCTTTATAAAAACATTAGAGGTATCTCTTACAAAGCTGATGTATATGGTTATATGATGTTGTTGATGGAAATTACTAGTAAAAGAAAGAATTTAAACCCACTTGCGGATCACTCGAGTCAAATTTACTTTCCTTCATGGTTTTCTGAGCAAATGAACAAAGGAATGGACTTGGAAATAAGAGAGAAGCAGAAGAGAAAAAAAAAAATGGTAAAGAAAATGATCATGGTAGCTTTGTGGTGCGTACAAATGAGGCCAACTAACCGTCCTTCAATGCACAAAGTTGTCGAAATGCTTGAAGCAGAACTTGAAAACTCGCAAAAGCCTCCCCTTTCCAGTTTTATCCTCATAAAATTCAAGAAAATAATTCTAAAAAGGCAACCAACGTCACAGAGTTCGATCTCTAGTTCTTCATGCAATGATGTAGAGATAGAGTCATTAAGTTTGCTTGAAAATGAACATTAAGTGAGATGGTAGTAACGATATACGAAGCTATAGATAAATATTCATAGCTATGTAAATTTTGCAGAGCATGAGCTAGTTCTAATTCTCTGGTATATCAACAAAAGGATTCTTAGAGTTCACCTTTATGTTTAAATCTTTATTATAAATTTAGATTGAATGTGTTTCTCTGCTATTAGAAGAATTGCAAATCAAGGATTTCCATCATGCCCAACAATCTTTACTTGGTTTTGCTTTTATTTTATTTTATTTCATTTTGGTGAAAGGCTTTGCTTTTATTGACTGATGAAATTTGTGGTGTAGAAGAGTCAATTGAGAGGTTGCTTGCTGCATATATTTAATTCCTCAATAAGACAATAACCGATTGCTATAGACTATAGTCAGCGTTTAGGAACTAGCCAAGCATCATCTGGGGATCCACATTTAGTCATTTACTTTGAAAAATCGCATGCAGAGAAATCAAGTAAATTGATGTAAATGCATTCCCCTGTGGCCCATTGATGTCCACTACCGCTTAACAAGATTGTCAATAAATTACACCCTTAATTAGTGGTCGAATTTTATTAAGAGTAAAGTATTAATTTGACTTCTAATTTTTAATTTTTAACCATTATCTCTGTTAAAAAAAAAAAAACAGTAAATTGATGTAAATACCGTATTCTGTGATAGAGTCAAGTAAATCCAAAACCTTCAACGTTGAATTTCCTCTTCTACCAATATTCTAAATATTCACAATCCTTTTCGGTTGAGCAATTACAACGATCCACTTAAATGTAGAAGCCCTTTAATTTTTTTATCAACAAAATCAAGGAGGATCAACTAAGGAAACAAAAGACATCAGAAGTAAAAAAGGATCGCCAATTATTACTCAGTGCATAATTCAAGGAGAAATCAAAGCAACAGTCACAAATAATGTTCAAGCCCATAATTTTTGGCATATACTTAAAATCTTGTATGTGTCTTGTATATATAATGACATATGTATACAAAAAAAAATAATTATTAAAAGTATTTAAATAATTTAATAAAAAAATATTGACATTTTAATTATCCGAATGTCTTAATTTTTCATAATCTCACAATGAGATATATGAATTTTTTTTTGACATTTATGATCAAGGTATCTTTATATTAGTTTTTGTATATTTTGAGATTAATTACTCTCTAAACAATTTTAATGACGCACACCTAATATTAATTTATGTATTTAAAAAAATTAATTTTCTTAAATTACATATACAATGGATATATGATTTTGAATACAATTCAATATTCTCAAAATTCCCTCTTTTCTTTAGTTTTCTTCGCTTTACTTTTTTCACCGTTAACTTTCATCATATGAACCGGTTTAATAACTTTTTTATTTTAATAGGTTTTTAACAAATATAAAAAAAGATTAATATGTATTAGTTTTGAGTCTTAAAAACAATTAAACTCTTAATTTATAT